ACTTTAAGACTTGTGGACTTCAACTCCCATCTGGCTGAGGAATTCTGGGAGCTGAAGTCCACAAGTCTTAAAATTGCCAAGGTTGGTGACCCCTGCACTAATGCAACTCTTTCTTCAACTTTAACCCAAAGCAGCATTTGGACAAGCAGAAGTCACAAATTATTAACTTATTTTTTTTTTCTTTCTTCGTGATCCTTTTTTCCCTTTTGAATTGTATCATGCTGACTGTGAACAAGGCTTTTTAAAATTTTTCTCCTTTCTTTGATTATATGGATGGCACTTAAAAGAGTAGCTTTTAGAAGTAGACTCTCTTTTTTTTTTTTAATTTGATTTATATGCCGCCCTTCTCCGGAGACTCAGGGCAGCTTACAGTGCGTTAAGCAATAGCCTTCATCCTTTTGTATATTTATACAAAGTCAGCTTATTGCCCCCACAACTGGGTCCTCAATTTACCTACCTTAGAAAGGATGGAAGGCTGAGTCAACCTTGAGCCTGGCGAGATTCGAACCTGCAGTAATTGCAGGCAGCTGGTCTTAATAACAGGGTGCTTTAGACCACTGTACTACCAAGACTCTTGTTTGGTGGACCTAATTATCAATTAAGGTTTTAATTCTAATACATACGCTTCTAAGAGTTATATCCCATCAAACCTAACAGATTCAATTCTAAATAAAGCCTCACACTTAGAATCGTAATTCATCAAACTCAAAGAAATTAAACTAAATTATTAATCATTCTCTAAAATGCGGTTAAATTAAAGGCAATTAAAATATCAATTATAAAATTAATAAATAGTAATGGGCACCTTGAGCGCAATCCCAAAACATCTGGAACATCACTTGAACATCAATTGACAAAATGCCCATTCGTCAATTGCAAAAGGCAGCTTTACTCAGAACATTTACACCCTGCTAGGATACTTTTAACATTGTTAAACATCAACATCTGTCTTTGGAAAGAATTTGATAGGTGGATAAAAGTTGCAAATCTAACTTAAACATCTGGCTGACTGTCGACGAGTCATAACAATATAGAAAAAGAACTTGAGACAATCCAAACTACAAAAACCTGCAAATAGATGTAGAATGACTGTGGCAAAAGAAAGGTAAAGTTAGCACCAGTAGTAATAGGTGCTTTGGGTGCTATCCCAAAACATCTGACCATCCCAGAATAAATCTACATTATTAAGCCTTCTGAGCTGTACAAGCTATATCTATGGAGATTCTCCGTCATCCAGCTCATGGTTGTCCCAAAGGTGCTTTTTCAAGAGGCGACTGGACTTTCTAGTTTTTCTTTGAAGACGTTTCGGAGAGCTGAAGAAGCTTCTTGGATATGAAGCAAAATGTCTTCAAAGAAAAACAGAAAGTCCAGTCGCCTCCTGAAAAAGCACCTTTGGGGGGTACAAGCTTTGGATTAATTTCTGAAGGAGCGATAAGGTTTTGCTAACCCCTTAAGTGCATGTTTTGCAATCGTAGCAACTTGAAGATGAATGGACTTCAAGTCCCAGAATTCTGGGATTTGACGTTTAACAGAGTAGCAGAGTTGGAAGGGAGCTTGGAGGTCTTCTAGTCCAACCTTAAAGTCACTAAGTTTGAGAAACATGCCTTACGTCGTGCCAAATATGGAAAGCCTTGCCTCTGAATCAACACAGGATTGGCTGCCATGCTATGGTTACTTAGGAGTAAGTGAAGTTCAATTTTCAGAGACAGAGAGAGCGAGCGCAGATGGGCTTCTTTCAGAGATGCTCTAGCACACTGCTTTTTAATTTCAGGAACTGGCTAGAGAATTCTGGGAACTGAAGTCCACACTTATAATTGCTGAATTGAGAAATACTGCTTTAATAGTAGTTGCACTGAGATGACCACTCCCAACCCTTCAATTCCATGAATACACAGCAGAACAGCTAAGTAAAGAAACAGTCACACCTAAATACAGAAACTCTGGCTCAATCTGCCCAGTGCTGTAAGAGATTCCTGAACAGGCTATAGAATAACAGATTTGGAAGGGACCTTGGAGGTCTTCTAGTCCAACCCCCTGCTTAGGCAGGAAAACTCTCTAGCATTTCAGACAAATGGTTATCCAAACTCTTGTTTAAAACTTCCAGTGTTGGAGCATTCACAACTTCTGGAGTCAAGTTGTTCCACTGATTAATTGTTCTAACTGTCAGGAAATTTCTCCTTAGTTCTAAATTGCTTCTCTCTTTATTTTTTATTTTTTTTTATTTTTAATTTGATTTATATGCAGTCCTTCTCCGGAGACTCAGGGCGGCTTACAATGCGTTAAGCAATAGCCTTCATACTTTTGTATATTTATACAAAGTCAGCTTATTGCCCCCACAAACTGGGTCCTCAATTTACCCACCTTAGAAAGGATGGAAGGTTGAGTCGACCTTGAGCCTGGTGAGAATTGAACTCGCAGTAATTGCAGGCAGCTGGATGTTAAATGCTGCCTTAGGAGGCATTAACCTCCTACGCCACTCAGGCTCCTTGATTAATTTCCATCCTTTGTTTCTTGTCCTGCCCTCAGGTACTTTGGAGAATAGCTTGACTCCCTCCTCTTTGTGGCAGCCCCTGAGATATTGGAAGACTGTTATCATGTCTCCCATAGTCCTTCTTTTCATTAAAGTAGACATGCCCAGTTCCTGCAACCGTTCATATGTTTTAGCCTCCAGTCCCCTAATCATCTTTGTTGCTCTTCTCTGCACTTTTTCTAGAGTCTCAATATCTTTTTTACATCGTGGTGACCAAAACTAAATGCCGTATTCCAAGTGTGGCCTTACCAAGGCATTATCAAGTGGTATTAACACTTCACGTAGCCGTTTCTTTAGGCCAGCAATACTTAAACCAAATCAGCATTCATCTCTGAAGAAACACAATAGTTCCCAAAGGTAAGAGAAAACGCTCGGAGTTGACATCACACAAGAAAAGTTTGTGAGTTTTGTAAAGCAAAAGGCAAATAACGGTAACAACTGAAATGTGTAAAATTGTGGCCAGGTTGACAAAAATAAGCAAACCTCCTACATGTTATGAGAATCCTGGATCCCCGGACCTATTAGGGCAGAGTTTCTCAGCCTTGGCAACTTTCAGATGGGTGGACTTCAACTCCCAGAATTTTGGGAGTTAAAGCCCACACATCTTAAAGCTGTCATGGTTGGGAAACCCTGTAAATCGTTTTGCAGTTCACACAGCACACCACAAGCCTAAACAATTCATCACTGAATGGCTTAAGAAGAAAGGAGGGTTCAACAATCACCATTAGTTATTTGGTTTTAAGTTTAGCCACGGGGCTGAATTAAATCACTACCTCGTTGAGTGGATTTGCTCAATGCAGTAGAACTGACTGGCTTCCAACTTGAACAGGGGATCAGATAATGTCATATCTACTAATTGTGTTGTCTGTAAATTACTTTGAGGACCGGAAATTCTTCCAAATCTGAATCTGTGAAGGACGATGGCTGAAGGATGCTTCAAAAGTTCCATGGTGCTTACCAAAAAATAAAAATCAGAACACCAAATACAAGTTGGGCAGAAACGACCTCGTAGACGACCCTCATTCTGTCAAGGACCTAAGAGTGCTCATTTCAAATGATCTAAGCCCCAGAGCTCATTGTAACACCATTGCTAAAAAGGCATTAAGAGTTGTAAACCTAATCTTGCGAAGCTTCTTCTCCGGTAACATTGTATTGCTAACTAGGACATACAAAACCTTTGCCAGACCAATTCTCGAATACAGTTCGTCTGCCTGGAATCCACACTGTATATCAGACATTAATACGATTGAGCAGGCCCAGAGGTATTTCACGAGAAGAGTCCTCCACTCCTCTACTCACAATAGAATCCCTTATGCCATCAGGCTTGAAATTTTGGGCTTGGATAATTTGGAACTGCACCGCCGTGGTCTGATCTAAGCATAGTACACAAAATTGTCTGCTACGTCATCTTACCTGTCAACGACTTCTTCAGCTTCAACCTTAATAACACACGGGCAAACAATCGATACAAACTCAAAGTAAAACCGCTCAAAACTCGATGGCAGAAAATACGACTTCAGCAACAGGGTGGTCAACGCCTGGAATGCTCTACCTGACCCCGTTGTTACATCCTCAAACCCTCACGGCTTCAACCTCAAACGGTCTACCGTGGACCTCAGCCCCATTCCTAAGAGGTCCGTGAAGTGGGAGTGCATAGGCGCACCAGCGTGCCTACCGTCCCTGTCCTACTGTCCCCGTTTATTTGTACTCATTTCCTTCGTTTTTGTCCACATTCATATTCATAACCTGCTATCTCTTACATGTTTGACAAACTAAGTAAGTAAGTAAGACACAGACAGACAGACAGACAGACAGACAGACAGGAGGAGGAAGGAAGGAAGACAGACAGGAAGGAAGGAAGACAGACAGACAGGACAGACAGACAGGAAGGAAGGAAGAAAGGAAGAAGGAAGGAAGGAAGGAAGGAAGACAGACAGACAGACAGGAAGGAAGGAAGGAAGGAAGGAAGGAAGACAGACAGAGGAGGAAGGAAGGAAGGAGGAAGGAAGGAATACAGGAAGGAAGGAAGGAGAGGAAGGAAGGAAGGAAAGGAAAGAAGAAGAGAAAACGGGACTGAGAACACATCACAAAGATAGGTAGCAGAGCAGCTGGGTGGGTCTAATCTTAAGTAGCAATATCTTGACCTCTTAGCGCAGGGGTCTCCAACCTTGGCAACTTTAAGCCTGGCGGACTTCAACTCTGGGGAATTCTGAGAGTTGAAGTCCGCCAGGCTTAAAGTTGCCAAGGTTGGAGACCCCTGTCTTAGTGTCTACATGAGTTTCACAGCCTGTGGCTTAGCCATGAGTTAACCACGGCTTATGGATAAACCCCCACCCTAAGCTAAGACACACACACAGGAGTTGTGGTCCACGCAGTTTTGCTGAGCCCAAACCGACAACCCAACTTTCTGCAGGGGGCAGACCGAAAGGAGCGGCTTCCCAGCCCTTGGGCCCCCCCCACCCTTACCTACCTTGGGGGTCTGGCCCACCATCACGTCGGTGCAGCCGACCGGGTAGGCGCCCTTCCCGTGGGGCAAGCCGAGGGACTGCGTCACCCCCATCCTTGGCAGCTCCGGCTGTCTCCCCGCGGAGGAGAGTCCCAGGCGGCCTGAAGGGGCAGCTTTCCGACGGCCTCTCCGCGGCTGGCAGGAGAGGGAGAGAGAAAAGGGGCCGCGCTCCTTCGCTTCCTCCTCTCGGCCTCTTCCCGGCCATTGGCTGCCGGCGGAGGGAGCCGTCGGCGGCCCCCAGAAGAGGGAGGAGCCGGGAGGCTCCGAAAGGAGGAAGCGCCGAAGCCCGGGGAGCTCTTGCCTGGAGCGCACAGCGGGGGTTTGCCGGCTTTGGATCGCGCGTCCAGGGCGCGCAGCCAAAGGATTTCGCGGTGGGTCGTGGGGGCTGGAATTCCGCGCTCCTGAACAAAGGCAGCTTGAGAAAAAAGCAGCACTCGGGGGTTAAAACTTACATTGAAGTCTGTCTTCTTCTCTTTCTTTCTTTTCTTCCTTTCTTTCTTCCCTCTTTCTCTCCTTTTCCCTTTCTTTCTTTCTCTCCTTCCTTCCTTTTTTCTCCCTCCCTCTTTCTCTCTTTCTTTCTCCTTTTTTCTCTCTATTTCTCTCTCCTTCCTTCCTTCTCTCTCTCCTTCTCTATTTCTTTCTTTCTCTCCTTCCTTCCTCTCTTTCCTTTTTTCTTCCTCTTCCTCTTTCTCCTTTTCTTTCTCTCTCTTTTTTCTCTTTCCTTCCTTCTCTCTCTCTCCTCTTTCTCACTTTCTCCCTCTCCTTCTCTCTCCTTTTGTCTTTTGCTCTTCCTTCCTTCCCCTCTCTCTCTGTCTTTCTGTCTTCCTTTCCCTTCTTTCTCCTTTCTTCCCCCAATTTTCTTTTTCCGTTCTTTCTTCCCTCCCCTTTTCTCTTCTCTTCCCTTTTTTCCCCCTTTCCCTCTTTTCCCCTTCTTTCTAATTCATGGCAGCAAGCATTCCTATTACCCCAGATCCCCTCCCAAGGCGTCACTCTGCTGAAAACTTAATTCTTAATTTAATAATAATAATTTAATAGTAACCTTGACTACCACTAAAGGTTGTATCTTTTTATTCTTGATGTGTTTTATTCTCCTTATGTACACTGAGAGCATATGCACCTAAGACAAATTCCTTGTGTGTCCAATCACATTTGGCCAATAAAAAATTATTCTATTCTGTTCTATCCTATCCTATCCTATCCTATCCTATCCTATCCTATCCTATCCTATCTATCCTATCCTATCCTATCCTATTCCATTCCATTCTTACAGTGCTGCCTAATGTCTATATATATTTACCTATATTATTATTTATCCTTACTATCTTCTCCCCATTTAATTGGAATTGCTTTTGTTGTTATTGTTGTTTATTTATTCTGTGGCTTTGTATGTACACTGAGAGCGTATGCACCAAGACAAATTCCTTGTGTGTCCAATCACACTTGGCCAATAAAGTATTCTATTCTATTCTATTCTATTCTATTCTATTCTATTCTATTTATTCTATTCTATTTATTCTATTCTATTCTATTCTATTCTATTCTATCTATTCTTTCTATTCCATTCCATTCCATTCCATTTCTTACAGTGCTGCCTAATGTCTATATATATTTACCCATATTATTATTTATCCTTACTATCTTCTTCATCCCCATTTAATTGGAATTGTTTTTGTTGTTGTTGTTGTTTGTTTGTTTATTCCGTGGCTTTGTATGTACGCTGAGTTCTCCTGTACTGGAGACAAATTCCTTGTGAGCTGAATCACACTTGGCCAAATAAAGTATAATTCAATTCCCTTCCTCCTCCTCCTCCTCCTATCTCCCCCACAACAACCCCTTGAGATGGGTTGGGCGAGATTGTGGTTGGCCCAAGGTCACCCAGCCGGCTTTCATGCGTAAGGCAGGACTAGAACTCACAGTGTCCTGGCCAGCACTTTAGCCACTGGTTTTACTCATTTTAAAAATATCCTTATGTAAAAGAAAGCTACCATATTTAATGGCTAAGCAAGATATTTCAAAAGACACTGAAAGGATGGACATAGATGAACTGCAACATTCCAGATGCACAGTAGATGGCAGCAAACTCGTAGATGGGCACTTCGCTACTGCCATCTACTGTTCATCCAGATTTTCACAGCCCAGAAGTGGGAAGACATTGAAGTCTAATGAAGACCACACACAGCACCAGGGGAGGGTAGAAGCATCCAGAATTACTCACTCCAATTTCAGACAGATTCATATTTTTCATTCAAGGCAAGAAAACAAGCAATCAGCATATAAACCCTGCATGGCAACTTACTTGCCCTTGTTTTATTGGCCATTAACTTCAATGCATAAGAAACAAAGTGGAGAGGGAAAAATTAAATTGATATAAGAGATAAAAATCAGTGACGATTCAATGTATCCTTCTTTTTCTTCTTCTCCTCCTCCTCTTCTTCTCCTCCTCCCCTCCTCTTCCTCTTTGTCTTCTTCTTTTCCTCCTCCTCCTCTTCCTTTGTCTTCTTCTCCTCCTTCCTCTTTGTCTTCTTCTTCTCCTCCCCTCCTCTTCCTCTTTGTCTTCTTCTTCTCCCCTCCTCCTCTCTTCTTCTCCTCTTCCTCTTTGTCTTCTCCTCCTCCTCCTCCTCTTCTCCTCCTTCTCCTTCTCTTCCTCTTCCTCTTTGTCTCTTCCTCCTCCTCCTCCTCCTCCTCCACCTCCTCCTGCCATATCCGTCATCGGATGTTGGCGATCATGTTGGCGATTCTATTTTTGTCAACAGCCGTATGAAAAAGTGCTGCTGAGTTTTGTCCAAACGAGTCCCTTAGGTTTTGAAGCTGTGATGTTCTTCTTCTACCTGGGCCTCGTTTGCCTTCAATCTTTCCCTGGAGGGTTAAATGAAGGATGCCGTATTTTTCTAGGTGTCTCTTTGTGTATCTTTAAGAGTCTTAAAAATGCCCTGTGCAGATCTAAGGCCTCAGTTTCCCAAGAAAGCATTCCTGGAAGATGCTTTTTCTGGTTTTATCAGATAAATCCCCTTTTGTTTTGGCCGCTTTTTGTAAAGTACGATAAGCGTATGTAAAGGTGTTTCTCTAGCTGCTTTCATTTACCATTTTTTCCCTCCTTCCTTACACCTTCAGTCACTTGAGGCCATTTAAAATTAGACAGAGCTAAAAGGAAGGTTTTAAAATAAATCAAAAGACCAACATTTTTATTACTCAGTCAACATTCCAATGCCCTTTTTTTTATTCTCCAAGGGCTTTTAATGCAATGATTGATGGCTATGGCTTATGGCTCTTATTTCTTCCTTTTTATAGAGATTTATGGCAATTGTGGTCATAAAAGGAGTGTGCAAAAAAATCTTACATGTGCAATGTATTACTGGCTATAATGGTTAACTTCTGAATATGATCGGGACTGCTGTCTGATTTAATTATATCCCCCTCGAAATGGCTTAATAGAATTTTCACACTGATGCTGGTAAACTGTCTTCTTAAAATAAATGGTATGAAAATGCTATCAATATACATGGTCATGATTACTATGTCCCTATTGAAAGGGTGGGTGGGAAACAGCTGTGATGCCGATATCTTTGTGTCAGCCCAGAGCAGGGGTAAAATCCAGCAGGTTCTGACAGATTCTGGAGAACCGGTAGCGAAAATTTTGAGCAGTTTGGAGAACTGGTAGCATAAATTTTGAGTAGTTCGGAGAACCGGCAAATACCACCTCTGGCTGGCCCCAGAGTGGGTTGGGAATGAGGATTTTGCAGTATCCTTCCCCTGCCATGCCCACCACACCATGCCCACAAAACTGGTAGTAAAAAAAATTGGATTTCACCACTGGCCCAGAGTTACCTTGTAGGGGAGATGGGCAGCACAGGATAGAAAGAAAGAAAGAAAGAAGGAAGGAAGGAAGGAAGGAAGGAAGGAAGGAAGGAAGGAAGGAAGGAAGGAAGGAAAGAAAGAAAGAAAGAAAGAAAGAAAGAAAGAAAGAAAGAAAGAAAGAAAGGAGGAGGGAGGGAGAAAGGAAGGAAGGAAAGAAAGAGAGAAAGAAAAAAGAAAAAGAAAAAGAAAAAAGAAAAGAAAGAAGAAAAAAAATAAGGTAGACTAAAGTAAGAAAAAAGAGATGTGGTGCCACAGTGGCTAAGATGCTGAGCTTGTCGATCGAAAGGTCAACAGTTCAGCAGTTCGAATCCCTAGTGCCGCGGAACAGGGTGAGCTCCCGTGACTTGTCCCAGCTTCTGCCAACCTAGCAGTTCGAAAACAAGTAAGAAATGCAAGTAGAAAAATAGGAACCAACTTTGGTGGGAAGGTAACAGCGTTCTGTGCGCCTTTGGCGTTTAGTCATGCCGGCCACATGACCACGGAGACGTCTTCGGACAGTGCTGGCGCTTTGGCTTTGAAACAGAGATGAGCACTACCCCCTAATCGGGAACGACTAGCACATTATGTGTGAGGGGAACCTTTACCTTTACCTTAAAGTAAGAAACCGATGCCATATAGATCAGGACTACTGTTATTGTACAGGTAGTCATATGACATATGACCTATGCCCTCTCCAATAGACGTTTTGCAACTAGAAGAACTGGATCACTCTTACCGCCAGAGACTTACTTGATTAGGTTTAATAGTCTATTCCAGGGGTGTCAAAGTTGATTTCATTGAGGGTCGCATCAGGGTTGTGCTTGACCTTGGGGGGCTGGGGTGGGTGTGGCCAGGGTGAGCATGGCCAGCTTGACGTCACTTGTGTCGGGGGCACCTGTGGTGGCCCGAGTGTTCTGCCAACGAAAATGGGCTCACGAGCTCCGTTTTCAGCTGCAAAAGTCTCCCTCTGCCAGCAAAAACAAAACTTGGGAGTGCCAAGCTCCATTTTCACTGGCAGAGGCACCGTGGGCCGGTCTTTCGCTGCTTCCTTATATCTTATATAACCTAACTTATATAAGATATAAATTAGGTTCTAACCTAACGCCAGTTAGGTTAGAACCTCTAACCTAACTGGCCTCGGTTAGAGGTTCGGAAAGGGACCTGATCCAAATCAAAGGAATTAGGCCAACCCACAATCTTACACTGAAGGAACTTCGTTTCATTCTAACGTCTCAAATGCAGGTGACTTAATTACATTTGCTGCATTTAAGGCAGTAGACATAAGGATTCCACTGTATTAACTTTTCCTCCTAACCTTTTACAAATTACAG